TTATGTGGATGGCACAGGCAGTAGTAGGAAGGAGAGGAGAATCCATGCCCAAGCCAAGTACCTCCTGTGGCCCATTGTGAATATTAGAGTAACATCAGTACAGGCTATAGGGCATCAAAGAGCAGCAGCTCAGCTGGTGAATAGAATTCCCTTCCATCCTACCCAAAGTTACACATATACAGCTAACACCAAAACTGTACCCACCAGTGTATGCATATATATAATCATAACTATGATTTATTAAGCACCTAATAAGTACTAGATACTGCAAAACCTGCCCAAGATTATGCTCTTGGTGAAGGTGTTGGGGTTTCTGAAGAAATGCAACAAATCCTTCCTCCCCATCTGGTATACAAAAGCCAACAAATGAAGGAATCAAAATATTCACTTTATTACTGATAAAAGCTAAATGGGGGGGGGAGGGAGCACAACCTGGTGTGAGTATCCAATGAATCTTCCCACTGTAGCTCATTCTCGGCCAGAATTCCTCAACCTTTGCAGGCAGCTCTGGGCCTAGACAAGACCTAGGTCAGCAGTGGGGAACTGAGGATGATGTCAGGGTAGAACCCAAGAGGGAGAGGAGCCCACCATTGCCTTTTCATTCTTTCTAACTTGACAATGCAGAAAACCACTTTGCCTCCTTTTGGATGGAGCAAGTGAAGGGAGAGACTCTAAGAAAATTAGGGGAAAATTCCACCTCAATACACCAGGGAAGAAAACTCTCTCCCTTCTAACAAGAGGCAGATCCAAGACTTGAGGCCAGGCCTGCCTTGTACCAAAGCCCATGCTCTTACTCATCGGTATCTATAAGTGAATGTGTGTAGTGCACTACTGGCTGGGAGGGCTTCCAGGAGTCAATTTTGCTTGAAGATTTTGGAGAAATAACAGACAGAGAGAGATGGAGATTGAGATTGTATCAGAAAGAAGAGAGACTAGGAGGACAGTATAGTATCTGTACCCCATGACATATGGTCCAGCCTCCTGATCTTAGGTCTGAGAGAGAGAAGTCGGGGGCAGGAAAAAATTAAAAGAACAGTTTTCATTTAAAACATTAAAAATCCTCATAACAGACTGCAACCCCAGCTGATGCTTTGATTACAGCTGCAGGAGATCCTAAACAGGGAGTACAACTGTGTGCCCCATCTATATCTGAGAAACTGTGAGATAAAAAATGTGTGTTCTTTTCTTTTCTTATTTTCTTTTTTTCCTTTTCTTTCCTTATCTTTTCTTTTCTGATGGAGTTTTGTTCTTGTTGCCCAAACTGGAGCCCAATGGTGCAATCTTGACTCACTACAATGTCCACCTCCCAGGCTCAAGCGATTCTTTTTTTTTTTTCTTTTTTTTTTTTGAGACTATGAGCACTGAGACACAAGCAGCGATACTAAGGTTACAAAAAGATACACTATAGCACAGAGGCAGGGAGATAAAAACTCCTCACTTCATTGTGGAACTCAAGAACAGAGGGAGTACTGGGCACCAGGGCTAATGCTCATGTGTTTATAGGCTCCTTGATGGCAGAAAAGATGGCAACACCAAGTGTACCAGTTAGAAATATTAGCTGCATACACCAGAATTAATTTTTTCACTTATTTTCTTGTTATTAGTTTTCTATTGCTGTATAACAAATTAGCACAAATTTAGTGATTGAAACCACTTACATTTATCCCAGCACTTTGGGAGGCCGAGGTGAGTGGATCACCTGAGGTCGGAAGTTGAAGACCAGCCTGACCAAGATGGAGAAACGCCATCTCTACTAAAAATACAAAATTAGCTGGGCCTCCAGCCTGGACAACAAGAGCAAAACTCCATCTTAGGAAAAAAAAAAGAAAGAAAGAAAAAGCAAAAAAAGGCACTGGGGCCAGGAACCCATGCTGCATCCCTATAATCCCAGCTACCTGGGAGGCTGAGGCAGGAGAACCACTTGAACTCGGGAGGTGGAAGTTGCAGTGAGCCGAAATATCACACCACTGAACTCCAGCCTGGACAACAAGAGCAAAACTCTGTCTCAAAAAAAAAGAAGAAGAAGAAGAAGGAAGGAGGAGGAGGAGGAGGGGGGGGGAGGGAGGGGGAGGAGGAGGAGGAGGAGGGGGAGGGGGAGGGGGAGGGGGAGGGGGAGGGGGAGGGGGAGGAGGAAAGAAAGAAGAAGAAGAAAGGAGGAGGAAAAAGAAAAGAGAAAGAAAAAGAAAGAAAGAAGAAAGAAAGAGAAAGAAAGAAGAAGGAAGGAAGGAAGGAAGGAAGGAAAGAAAGAAGAAGGAAGGAAGGAAGGAAGGAAGGAAGGAAGGAAGGAAGGAAGGAAGGAAGGAAAGAAAGAAAAGAAAAGAAAGAAGGAACAGAACACACAATTTTTATCTCACAGTTTCTCTGAGTCATAGACGGGGCCCACAGTTGGGCTCCCTGTTTAGGGTCTCCTGCAGCTGTAATCATGGCAACTGCTGAGGCTGCAGTCTGCTCTGAGGCTTAACGAGAGAAGGATCCACTTTTATGGGCAGAACTCAGTTCTTTGCAGCTATAGGTATTTCAGTTTCTTGCTGGCTGTCAATTGGAGGCTGCTGTCAGCTCCTAAAAGCTTCTCTTACTTTCTTGCCCAATATTGGCAGCTCACTTCTTCAAAGCCAGAAAAGCAGGGAGAGACTCCAGCAAGAGGGTCACTACAATTCTGTCACCTTTGCCACGTTCTATTGGCCAGAGGCAAGTCTTGGGCCTCACACACACTCAAAGAAGGGGATCCACAGTGGCCTGAGCATCAGTAGCAAGGGGTCTACTGGGCATCAATAGGAAGGGGTGGACAGGCTCTGGGGCCTACCCTAGAGCCTGCCCACCACCACAACTGGTTTAAACAAGGTAGATGTTCTCTCATTTGCAAAAGAAATCTGAAGGTAGGTGGTTCAGGGTAGTTTCATAGTTATCAGGGACCCCAGCTCCTTCAGGCTCTCCAGCCTCCAGTCCTGAGGGTTTGGCCTTCCCCGTAAAGGACCAAAATATTTATGTACCCCAGAACTTAAAGTATAATTTAAAAAAAAAAATGAACTGATAGAGCTTTAGCCAATCATCCACAATCCAGGCAGCAGGATGAAGAAAAGGCACTACTATAGACACATGCATACGTATGTTCATTGCGGCCCTGTTTACAATAGCAAAGACCTGGAACCAACCCAAATGCCCATCAATGATAGACTGGACAAAGAAAATGTGGCACATATACACCATGGAATACTACGCAGCCATAAAAAACGATGAGTTCATGTCCTTTGTAGGGACATGGATGAATCTGGAAACCATCATTCTCAGCAAACTAACACAAGAACAGAAAACCAAATACCACATGTTCTCACTCAGAGGCAGGTGTTGAACAGTGAGAACATGTGGACTCAGGGAGAGGAGCATCACACACTGGGGGCAGTGGTGGGGGTAGGGGAGGGACAGTGGGGGGTGAGGAGGGATAACATGGGGAGAAATGCCGTATATATTATGCACCTATGCAACAACCCTGCCTGACCTGCACATGTACCCCAGAACCTAAAGTAAAATTTAAAACGAAGAAGCAAGGCACCTACTCCCTTCCTTTTAAGGATACTTCTCACAACTATCACTAATATCTTTAGCCTACATCCCACTGACGAGAACTTGGTCTGGGACACTACGTTACTGCAAAGGCAGCTGGGAAATGAGCTCCTCCTGAAACTAAAGAGGAGAAGAAGGGGTTGAATAGGAGGAAGAAAGCGGCAGTCTCTGCTACACTGAACATCAACAAAGTGGGCTAGATAGGAGAGAAAGAACAAAGCAAATCCCAGGTGACAGCTCTTGGGATCCTTTGTGAGAGAATGAAACAGTCCTGGAGGCCCCGGGGAATCACTGGGAAGGACTGTCTGGGAAGCTGGAGGCCCTGTTAGATGGCATGGATGATGCTATTTCCAAGATCCCTTTTAATAACCAGGCCAGTGAGGCCTGGAAAACTCATTAAATAATCCAGTGGTTCTCAGATTAAAATAATCATCAGAATCACCTCTTTGTCTAATAATTCAGATCCAGAACCTGACTGTGGATATTCTGAATTAGGATTTCTTAAAGTAAGGCCAGAAATTTTTGTCAAACCAAGCTCTTAAGAGAATCTTATGTCTATCAAGTTTGGAAACTACCATTATAGATATTTTCAAATTACTTCATCTTTCCCCAGCCTTCAAGCTAAGTTTCCTAGACTTAGGATATAAACTTAAACTTATTTGTTAATCTAAATATCTGTCCAGTGACTCCAATGACTCTATTCTTGTATAAGAGTGTATTAACTTAATCACATTAAACAGTTGGCATTATGAGGTGATCTAGAAGGGCCCAGCACTTAGCTAGAGGGTTTTCAAACTTGGAGCTTTTTTATATTTGGGGCCAAATAATTCTTTGTTGTAAGGAGCTGTCTGGTGCTTTGTAGAATGTTTAGCAGCATCCCTGGCCTCCGTTCCCTGGATGACAATAGCACTATCTCCAATTATGTTAACCAAATAAACTATGTCCAGACATTAGCAAATGGTACCCGAAGGCAAAATCACTTCCAGTTGAGAACCCCCAACTGTGAAATGTTATCTTTAGTGTTTCACAGAAGCCCATAAAATTGATGGCAACATTAGTATTAAATAACACTGAGCGGGAATTAAGAAAATGCACATGAAATCTTATGGTCTGGATGCGACAATCCGCGCCTCCATTTTCCTGTGTATATAAAAACTGTGTGTTCTGTATACTTCTATATAATTTCCAGAAGTTAACTGAGTGCTTTACCTGACATTGTTTTTTTTTTTTTATTTGTGGATTACCTACCTCTCCACTGAGGGGGATAGGTAAAGGAGGCTGGTGATAAAATTTCTTCAACTTCATTTATGTCAAGCCCTTAACACAATAATACCTAATCTAAGCTAGCCCCAGACATCCCGTTTCTCATAAGTAAGCTTAAATAAGGGAGATGTGCTATGGATACGCTTTATGCCAAAATATAAAGAACACATAATAAATAGACAAGAATTTAAACTTTTATTAATAAATCATGATTTTCTATTGAATACATAATAAAGTACAATGAATAATAACATTCCAACATTAAAAATTAAAACTTTCAGAATCTTGATCAATATATAAAGCTTTAGTTCCTGGAAAAATATTTCAACAGTATTCTTCTCATATGCAAAACAGCTTCCCAAAATAGGAGATTTGTGAATGAAATTTTAGAAAGCTTCTGGTACAAAAGAGATTGACTTCACATCAACTGACCCCCATTGAAAATCAAAACCATAAAGGCTTGAAGGACCAGAATTGAGCGACATTCTATTAGTTATCAAAAGATAAAATCTTAAAGATCTACAAATGGAACATGGAACTGCCTTCTACCACCAATTCAACACACTGGGCAAAAGTGGTAAATCTTGGCCTAAGGACAACATAAGATAGAATGATTCTTAAATCTGTAGCAACACATATATCAATATTCTTCCTATTACAGAGACACATGCATACCAATGTATAACTTTTCTTTGCAGTAAGAAACTCAGAAATCATCCAGGAAATATCCATTTTCCTATGTTACAATTGAAATGAAAATGATAATGTATTTTATAAAATGATGAAATGTGGTACCGACTTTTGATGAGACATGAAAACACAACTCACTGGATAGAAATAGTTGTTAAAATAATCCTACTCTCACTGACATATACTTAATTTAAAAGTTACACTTACTGCTTAGTTTTCTGAAGAGGATAATCAAAGTAGTGATAAAAATAATTGCACCTTAAATTACTCCCAGTGTAACATAAGATATTTAATATTAATATAAATATCATCTGAATAGATTATGGAAAATTTTTAATTTCTTAAAAGTGCTATGCCTTACTGGAATTTGAAGACAAAAAAAAAGTGAGCAATATACTCTTCTGCCTGTCCAACAGAAGCCTCTACTGAGAACGTAAAAGGTTCTGAAGTCCATTCACAAATGAGTCCACTTACTATAAGTGTCTTAAATTCACAATATGCAAAAAACTAATGCACCCAAGAATATATCATGGCACCTTGACCCATGGTAACCACTTGGCAGACTCAAATAATAACTACCCTCATAGGGAGAAATCTTGCCAAGAGAGAATTTACAGCATATTTTTAGAAAGAAATGAGTATTAATAATTCAATAAAGCAAATTTAAAAAAGTAAAGTTGTCAAAAGAACTCCAGATTATATACCAGCAGGTTAATACAATGGTTCTTTTTTTAAAAATGGCAAAGAAAAATCATAGTTCCAATGTTTTCAATGTCTTGAGTCAGCCAGACATGTCAAATGAAATAATTGAATTATGTCAAAATAAAAATAGTTGGAAGAAATTAAAGCTAAATACGTCTTTAAAAAAACAATTATACCTAGACTCAAAAGAATAGGAGCAGGGAGAGTTATGCTAGCTACAATTCTGAAAATTGCCACATTCAGGATATGGTATTGCATATGTAAGTCACAACTCCTAGGTAACAAAAATATATCATATTCTGTATAAGCAAAATGCTCCGCAGATTGTAATATATAATCCAAAATATTAAACCAAAGATACTATTTTTAGAATGTTTGAAAAACAAAGTACAATAGAACAGCACAATAAAAGGAAGAATTTCATTGAGCAGACATATTTTAATGGGCTTGAATTTCTTTTTTAAAACAATAACTAAAGGTAGTAAGACGGTAAAACCGAATATAAAAGTGTTATTCTGTCCTAGAAGTGTTTGGCTACTAGGTTTTCCCAAAATGGAGTCTCTGGAAGCATTGGCCAAACAGAAAGGGAGGTGAGATATGCTGGTGTCTTAAGGTTCCCAGTCAGTAGAAGAGAAAGGGGCTTTAGTTCATACCAGTAAATGACATTGACAGTATTCTAAATGGAAGAGCTTCAGCATAGGCAATCTTAATGGTAAAACGATTATTTTAATATTATTACCCATAGCATGTGAAGAAAATCATCTATACTACTGATCATTACTACTACATATACTCCTTTTCTCCTTATGCCTGTGGTATTTTAATCACTTTTAGTCCAAGTCAACTGCTTATAGCAGAGCAAGTTCTCCAAGGGAAGTATGAAGGAAGAAGTGCCCCAGGAGGCACTGCTGGCTAACCCTTTCTCTTCCTTCTCGTTGTTGTCCTCTTCACTTTCAATTAACTTACAATAAAAACAGATGAGTTACAAGGTACTTTTAAATTGAAAACCTGAAGTTCTTCACCAAAAATGTATTCAAACGCTAGTTTTTAAACAAGGAAATATGGTTTAAAACAGATACAACCTCTCTTCCAGTGGCCTTCCCATCCTAGTGTTTCCTAATACATGACACCAGAAGTTCACTATACATTAGGTACTAAAGAATATAAAGTATCAATTATCATTATAAGGTTCCCAGTCCAGGGCAGAGGAGGCGAAAGTCCTTTGCTAAGACCCTCCCCCAATTATAAGATTATTTGACCTTTAAAGAACACCCAGAGTATAAAGGGCAAAAACACCATTACAAGGAGGCCCCATAATAGCAAGTGCCTGTTTTAGAACATTGTGTCAGAGGTGTAAGAGATCTAGAAACTTTTCCCCACTTAAAAATAAATGGAAGAAAATTAGGTATTTGATAATTAACTGCCCTCTTCATAGACCACTCTCTGGGATCTATTTTCTACATATAGGTTTGACAGCTTTAAAATATTGAATGTTAGTTATTCCTACCATGGTTCCAAAATATCCGTAAGTAACATATACCATTCATTCCACTATAATTTCTGAAAATTCACTAAAATAAGAGCATTTTTAAAAATTAACTTTAAAAGATACATTTGCATACTTTCTTTTTGATGGATTTATTTTTTAAAAACTAAAAACATAAAACAAACTCTTTGGAGCTCATGGCAATTACTTTTTCTCGTGTCCACTTGAGAGAAATGCCAATGAGCCAAAGAGCAAAACTAAACCATTTCTTAGATTGAGTAAAAGATCATTAATTGTTGACTCATATCTAAATTATTTCAGTATATTTAGAAAGCAAAGAAGAAAGGGAGATGGAAAGGAAAGAAAGAGAGAACGAGGAGAAGGAGAAAGGGGGACATCTTTAAAATTTCCATCCAGATAAATTATATTACTCTTCAGAACACAGGGCAACTAAAATTGAGGTGCTGAGGATTCAGGGATCTTAAAAGTTCACAGCGAGCATCAGATGTCACTAGATGACTGGCAGTCTGATGCTCAGATCCCTGAGCTGAGAAGAGGTTCCACAGAACCTAAAGAGATCTTTCAGCCAGCAGTCATGTCAAGATGCTCTGATTCTCCACAAACCCAGCTTCTTTCTCAAATTGCAGGGAGGTCAGTCTGCAGCGACTTATCTAGTATTTTGTTGTGCCCTGGCTCACAGTGTCTCCTGGTCTAGGATCTTCTAATCAAAGTCCCTTGAGGCACAGATTGCAGTGCTCTCTGACTCTCACCCCTGAAAGAGAGTTGGTGTGGGGCTGAGGATGTGGAAGGAGAGAGCACACCCAGCACCCTCCAGGGCAGTTTTCAGTATGCTCCTCAACTTGAGATGGCATGCAAAGCACAGGGACATGTACTGCCACTCTCACATTTCTCTATAGAGGAAAAAGAGAGGGAGGGGAAAGGCTGGGGTGTGTGATCAGATTTCCAGTGAAAAAAAGACAATGCCACAAAAAAAAAAAAATCACCACCTATATTCTAAAAAGAAAGAATTTCCAGTTAAGAAGTATCTACTAAGACCACTGGGTATGGGGCGGCGGGGTGGGGTGGAGTGGGCAGTAGGATTAGGTTGGAGGTGGGAAGGGAACAGATCAAGCTCCTCCTGCTGGCTGTTTTCTCCCATTCCCAGGGAAATCCATCTTTAAGCAAACATGGATGTGCAATAATGCTTAAGAATCTAGGTTCATTTCTTCCACAAAATGAGGAGAATAACTATTCTAAAATAATACCTTTATTCTGGAGAAAACAAACACCTCAAAAAAAAATCCTAAAAGATTTTCAAAGGGGAAAATATAGACATATACCTGCATTCATTCTGATCTTCCATACAAACACCAGGTGAAGAAATCTATGCAGCTATACACACTAGGACCTGTTGTACACCACCACCACCCCAACCCCATAGAAGGAAAAAAACTGTTTTTCAAAATAGAAGCAATATTTGATTATGAAAACAAAACAATCACATGTGAGTATTGGAAATATTAGTGTTACACGGAGTCCTTTAAAAATAAATCACAGCCGAAGTTGCAAAAAGTACAGAAGTGTTAAACAGGAAATAAAAATGACTGAAGAGGGATGATGGGAGCCTGAAGCTCCATCCTCACAAGGACGGCAGCCCTGGACATCGCGGCAAAGGTCACAGGAGGATAGCTTCGCTTCAGAGTTGTAACTTCTCACCGCCAGTCTCCCTGTTCAAAGAAGCAGACATCGGTTCACACAACTCCCTTGTTTAGAAACACTGACTTTGCCAAAACATAAGAGCATTTCGATACACTCTTCTGAGTTTTCCATTCTTTACCTAATTTTATTTTTCTTTACAAGAAACAACTGAAATGTTGAAGAGGGGTCCAAAGTACTAACCAAATCCAAGGGAGAAACAATGCACTCAGTCCAATCTGTCTACCACCAGCAGCTGGCGAGCATTAAAAGAGAGCAAATCGACTGCAGCTGCACACTGCAATCGCAAGCACCACTTTAATCTCTTACTGCATCAGGAAGAATTTTCACTTGAGGACTGTTTAACCTCCTCAAGAGTTTATTTTAGGATGACATTTTCTATGCACTCAAATCAAATTCTAATCATTAGAACTACTGAAAAGAGGCATTTATCCTGGGCTCTAGTAAAAAAAAAAAATACATAAATATGAAGGAAAGAGTGCCTCACCTTGTTTTAAGGTTTTACAACACTGAGCATATAGTATCTAAAAGCTAACATGAAAAAACTATGTAAAGTACCTATAAAACCACAGTAAACTCACTGTAAAACACAAATGAGTTTTATTGTTTTAAAAAAACATATTCTGATTTCAAATTTATTCATGATTTTTCAGAGATTGTTGTCCATATTGTAAACGTGTTTTGAGATTTTTTTTTTAATTGTAATTTAGGTTCTGCGGTACATGTGCAGATCATGCAGGATTGTTGCATAGGTACATACATGGCAATGTGGTTTCCTGCCTTCATCCCCCCACCACCTATATCTGGTCTTTCTCCCCTCATTATCCCTCCCCATCCTCCCCACCCCCGCTATCCCTCCCCTAGCCCCCCCACTACTGACCGCAGTGTGTGATGCTCCCCTCCCTTTGTCCATGTGTTCTAATTGTTTAACACCCACCTATCAGTGAGAACATGCAGTGTTTGATTTTCCGTTCTTGTGTCAGTTTGCTAAGTATGATAGTTTCCAGATTCATCCATGTCCCTATGAAGGACAGGAATTCATCGTTTTTTATGGCTGTGTAGTATTCCATGGTGTATATGTGCCACATTTTCTTTATCCAGTCTATCAGTGATGGATATTTGGGTTGGTTCCAGGTCTTTGCTATTGTAAACAGTGCCACTATGAACATACATGTGCATGTATCTTCATAAAAGAACAATTTATAATTCTCTGGGTATATACCCAGTAATGGAATTGCTGGGTAAAATGGTATTTCTGTTTCTAGGTCCTTGAAGAATTGCCACACTGTCTTCCACAATGGTTGAACTAATTTACACTCCCACCAACAGTGTAAAAGTGTTCCTATTTCTCCACATCCTCTCCAGCATCTGTTGTCTCCAGATTTTTTAATGATCACCGTTCTAACTGATGTGAGATGATATCTCAATGTGGTTTTAATTTGCATTTCTCTAATGACTAGTGATGATGAGCTTTTTTTCATGTGTTTGTTGGCCTCATTGATGTCTTCTTTTGAAAAGTGTCTGTTCATATCCTTTGCCCACTTTTGGATGGGTTTATTTGTTTTTTTCTTGTAAATCTGTTTTAGTTCTTTGTAGATTCTGGATATTAACCCTTTGTCAGATGGGTAGATTGCAAAAATTTTTTCCCATTCTGTTGGTTACCAGTTCACTCTAATGATTGTTTCCTTTGCTGTACAGAAGCTCTGGAGTTTAATTAGATCCCATTTGTCTATTTTGGCTTTTGTTGCCATGGCTCTTTGGTGTTTTAGCCATGAAGTCCTTGCCTATGCCTATGTCCTGAATGGTTTTGCCTAGGTTTTCTTTGAGGGTTTTTATGGTGTTAGGTCTTATGTTTAGATCTTTAATCCCTCTGGAGTTAATTTTAGTGTAAGGCATCAGGAAGGGGTCCAGTTTCTGCTTTCTGCACATGGCTAGCCAGTTTTCCCAATACCATTTATTAAACAGGGAATCCTTTCCCCATTGCTTGTTTTTGTCCGTTTTGTCAAAGATCGGATGATTGTAGATGTTTGGTGTTGCTTCTGAGGCCTCTGTTCTGTTCCATTGGTCAGTATCTCTGTTTTGGTAATAGTACCATGCTGTTTTGATTACTATGGCCTTGTGGGATAGTTTGAAGTCAGGCAGCATGATACCTCTGACTTTGTTCGTTTTGCTTAGGATTGTTTTGGCTATGTGGGCCCTCTTTTGGTTCCCTATTAAGTTTGAAGTGGTTTTTTCCAGTTCTGTGTATTGCTTATTCTGATCGTTCCCAAATTTTCATTTTAAAATGGCCTCCTCATAAATTGTGATATAGCTAGCCTAGAGTTAGAACCTGTACACTGCCATTTTATAAAGGACAAAACTGTTTCTATTCTCCTCACAATGACTGCTAACCTTGGCTTCTGTAAACTGCTGAGTTTACAGGTAAAGCTGCATGCCTTCTCTTATCTGTAACTATCAGAATTGCTGGCCTTTGTTTACCGGTACTGACCAGAGTAAGCACCCCCAGATAATTCCATCCTGGCGCCAAGCAACTGAAAAATCTGTGGACCCCACACCTGTCCAAATAATGTATAAACTAATGTTTATCTTAACTTCTGTAAACCTCTTAAGTGGCAATCGGAATGACAAAAGTCCCCTGGCCCTTGAAATGTCCAGAGCCCCCCACCACCTCGTCTCAGCCTAGGAGGTGATTGACAGCTTTCATTCCCATCTCCACTCCTCACCCCCACTCCCAAGGTGGTTTTGTGGGTATAAAAAGGTCTTGTCACCCTTCTTTCTCCACCACGGGTTGGAGAGACGTGAGTCCTCCATGGTCGCCGGCAATAAACCCTGCAATTTGGCATACTTTTGTCTTGGTGTTGACTTTCTGTGCTCGGTCCGATACAACATAAATAAGATGCTTTTCACAAAACTTCTCATAGACTGAATTATTTTTGTTTCGTAAATGTTCCCCATGTACCCAAGAAATATAAATTGGGGAATTTTTCAATTAAGTTAAGTAATAAAGTTGGATAACTAGTTACTGTCATTGGGTCTGCACGGTGTATTCCATCCCTCCACTAGAGAAGAAGTACTACATCAGTGTTTCCCAAATGTCCCACAAGAACCTGGGTGAATCCTCTTCCTCAGTGCCAAAAGGAACTGGCTTGTTGACTTAGAGGAAAGAACTGGTGCTACACAACTTCGTCTTGAATACTCTATCAAGCACTAACAACAGTGGGAACAAGTTCATCTCATTTAAAGTGTAATTATCTGCAACTACCTAACACATCAAAATGGTCATGCTTCTCATCATCGTGATGATTCTGGACCACCACAAGGGTTTATTCAAAATAAGACGTATTACCATTAGAAATATTAGGCCAGAGATCACATGCAAAAAGTCACTCTGATTAAACATGGAATCATCCTCTTAAACTTGGGCCGACCAGCTCTCTATTTTTACATCCTAAATTCCCATCATTTTATAAAATAAGAAGTTACCAGTAAAATCAAAGAAGCTCAAGTTATTTTCCAAACTGGCTATATTTTTCTTGATACACTTTTAAAAGTCTGTTATCAAGTGTAAGTTTTCAGCAAAACACCAGACTCCCTCAGTGAAGAAAGAGTTAACTCCAGCCAATGCTACTGCATTGCAGATGCTTTTCATGTTCTCTCCTGAAGAAGTCCCATTTTACTATTTATTTATGTACTATTCAGGGGGTACATGTACAAATTTGTTACAAGGGTATATTATGTGATGCTTGAGGTTTGGGCTTCTATTGATCCTGTCACCCAAATAATGAACATAGTACCCAATAGAGTATTTCAGCCTTTGTTTCCCTCTCTCACTCCCCGCCTTTTGAAGTCCCCAGTGTCTACTGTTTCCATTTTTATGCCCATGTGTACCCAATGTTCAGCTCCCACTTATAAGTGAGAACACATGATATTTGGTTTCCTGTTTCTGCATTAATTCAGTTAGAATAATGACCTTCAGCTGCATGCATGTTGCCACAAAGGATATTCTTTAGTTCTTTTTTAATGGCTATATAGTATTCCATGGTGTACATGTACCTCATTTTCTTTATCCAGTCCACAGTTGATGGGCACCTAGGTCAATGCCCTGTCTTTGTTATTCTGAATAGCGCTGTGATAAACATATGAGTGTAGGTGTCTTTTCAGTAGAATAATTTATTGTCCTTTGGATGTATACCCAGTAATAAGATTGTGGGGTCAAATGGTAGCTATACTTTTAGAACTCCCATTTTAAAGCCAGAACCAAATGAAATGGGTGCTTGGAATAGAAGCAATATCTTCAAATGAAACTCACTTTATGATTGTGAGTTAAAAACTTAAAACATTATGAAAAAATGTATCTTTTTAAACTTCATGTGCTAAAACCTCTCATGTGACCCTTGTAAATTATCAATAGTCTTCATTGAAATAGAATGCTCACTTCCTGCCTCTCTGCCTTTTATAATTTCCCTTACCAAACCCTGCCCTTGTCACAGAACCAATCTAGAAGGTGGTCACTTCCAATAAATGAATGAATGCCTGGCTTAATTTCTAAGTATCAAGAACTCCAGAGCATACTTACTTGGCTCATAGTAATCCACAATGAACACTGAAGCATCTTGGGTATTTGAAACTTTAAAGTTTCTCACAGCAGGAATATCTACACAAAACTGGGTTTCATTTACCTTGAAAAATACAAAAGAGTATTAAGGGGTTGGCACACTGCATGTTCATGATTAAGTAAAGACATTTCTTTTTCTTATTTTAAGAAACAAAGACTAACATTGAGGGAGGATTTGTACATGTCAGATACTGCAATAGGTACTTCCTAGGAACTCTCTTATTTAACTTTTAAAACAACGCTTACTTCCATTTTGCTGAATGGGATGCTGAGAATTAGAGTGGTTAAGTAAGCAGCAAGCCTGAGGGTGCATGCACCCAGATCCCCAGTCTCAAACGGTGCTCCCCACACCCAGTTACTACTAATGGCTCACAGCAGCCTCCTTCTCCTGGGAATCTCCCTCAGTTCATGTAAGCCATGCCACCCAGTAGGTGAGGTAACTAAGATGGGGCTGTACTCCACAGCCAATGACTGAGATGGGGTACATAAGGCCAGCCCATCTGTCTCCAAGAGGGATAGCTTTTGCCAGTTTGGCAAACAACGCTAGTTAAAGAATCAGAAATTAGTAAATTCCTTCCAACATTCCCTTATTTGCCAGTAGTAGTAAATGAAAAGTCAAAGTGACCACTCAAAGAGTACTGGACACTAAAATCAAGATAACCATTAACAAGAGCACCAAAGACAGAAGACCCACTCCAAAACCAATTACATCACTAAATTAAATCCTTAAATTTGTTTTTCAAGTTCCAAATCAGGCCCACGGCTTTCAAGCAGAGTTTAATGTAAGATAATTCCTAAAGAACAAAAGAATCTAAAGACTCTTATTTAACATTAAATTGAGACTGAATTCATTTTAACAGGGCTTTAACCAAAGTGGTTTTGAAGAGCTAAGACAAATGAGAACATTCGGGAACTATCTTTTTAAAAGTAGATATTTAGCAATATATTTCTGATTCATACTTAGCAAAACTGAAATAAGAAACATACAAACCCACCCATGTAATATGAAATCCTTAGGATACTATGAACTCAATATCCAGTCAACCTGTGAGGCTCATCTAAATGCTGTAAGGAAAGAATAAACTTACATGCCACCAGTTTTGAGACATACCAAGCAGGGTCTGGAATTCTTCACTTACTTTTCCCTACATATTATATGTACCTTATGCTCGAATTAGTAGTACTCATTCAGCAATGAAAAGAGTACATGAAGGTTATATAATAATTATATGTCAAGACCAAATCTCTGAGAATAATTTTCCATGATTTAACACCTAATTTTTCAAGGTAAGAATATTAATCCCTTTAAGGTTACTTAAAAGCTTCATGGAAGAATTTTAAAATGTATAATTGAGGCTTTTGTCTTCTAGCCAGGCATGGCGGTTCACACCTATAATCCAAACACTTTGAGAGGCCAAGACCAGAAGATTGCTTGAAGCCAGGAGTTCAAAATCAGCCTTGGCAACAAAGTGAAATCCTGTCTCCACGAGAAATTTTCATGAAATTATCTAGGCATGGTGGCATGCACCTCTAGTCCCAGCTACTCAGGAGCTTGAAGTGGGAGGATCACTTGAGCCCAGGAGTGGGAGGTCGCAGTGAGCTATATGATTGCACCACTACACTCCTGCCTACACAAGTCCCTGAGGCAGAGAGGGTCTCAAATTCATGTCTGGACCGATTTTTTTAAATTATAATATGGAAATTTCTATGTATTTCACATCTGGTGTGAAATAAAGATTAAGTTTTAAAGACCTTCATCAGGCTCGTCAGTAATAGCAACTCTCTAAACTGAGTTTATAATTATGTCTTTCTAATGAAGATAAATATATGGTTGCCATGTTAAACTCATTCAGAGACACAAAAAGTTGAAATAACAACAACTCGGGGAGGACTCAAGATGGCCCTGTGAGAACAACCCAGGATTGGAGCTCTGCTCGTTGAATCTGCAAACGGTGAGTCAGAGCGGATTTCCAGACTGATCTTTGTTGCCCACAGAACGGGGAAACTCCCAAGTATAAAAAAGACACGGGACGCCAGGTAGTAGGTCTGCCTGGCGAAGCCGGCAGCCAGGGCGGCGGCGGCCGGCCCTACCCAGCAATCCCCGCAGGGCGCGCTTGTCCGGGTGCCCTGTTGAACCGGCAACCTGAGACTTGAGAGGGCTGGACTTGAGACTGAACGAGACTTGGACAATAGGCCAGCCCAGGGGATTGCAGGGATTGGGATACCCAGTGGGACAAACAAAACCGCGATTTCAAACTATCCCGAGCAGACGGTCCGAGATGCTCTGTGGGGGAGGGGCGTCCACCACTACCGAGGCAACCCGCCCCAACTGAGATACACGCCCACTGCTGAGGCAGCCAGCCGTTGCCGAGGCAACCCGCCCCAACTGAGATACACGCCCACTGCTGACACAGCCAGCCGTTGCCGAGGCAACCCGTCCCTACTGAGATACACGCCCACTGCTGACGCAGCCTGCTGTTGCTGAGGCAACACGCTACAAGAAGAGACTCTGCCGCAGGGCGTGGTGGAGACCACAGCAGAGCCGGCAGGAACAGCGCGAATCACACAACAGCAGGGCGGAGCCTCGGCAGCCAAACAGTGGCTAGTCTGCCTTCTAGCTGGGCAGGACACCTGATCGGACATCCAAAAATAAAGCCCAAACCCCTCAACACAGAGCATTTGAGAGAAAAAAAAAAAAAAAAGGTTTTTTAATGAGCTCTGTTGCAGCAGAATCAAACATAACAGCATAACAGCCCTGAATGAACAACAGAGTGCACAGTTCAGCAATTAAACCCCTATAAAGTACAAACTGTCTCCTCAAGCAGCTCCCTGACCCCTCTATATCCAAAAGACTGACATTAGGCAGGCATCATCCTGGGACAAAGAGAGCAGAAAAAGAAACTGGTAGCATCCCTCGCTGTGCCACAGCTACTAGAGGTGCACCCCAGACAAGCAGGGTCTGGAGCGGACCTCAGCAGTCGTACAGCGAAGGGGCTAGATGGGTAGAAGGAAAACCAAGCAACAGAAATACTTCATCATCAACATTCTGGGTGTCCACTCAGAGACCCAAACGAAAAGTCAGCAACTACACAGACGACCAGCGGACAAATCGACAAAGATGGGAAGAAACCAGCGCAAAAAGGAGGAAAACACCCAAAACCAGAACACCTCGCCTCCTAGAAAGGACCAAAACTCCTCACCAGCAAGGGAGCAAAGCTGGACGGAGAATGACTGTGACAAAATGACGGAATTAGACTTCAGAAGATGGATAATGAGAAACTTTTGTGAGCTAAAAGATCATGTATTAAATCAATGCAAAGAAACTAAGAACCTTGAAAAAAGATTTGAAAAAAGATTCGAGGAAATGATAACAAGAATGGATAACTTAGAGAGGAATATGAATGAATTAAAGGAGCTGAAAAACACAATACAAGAACTTCGCGAAGCAAACACAAGTTTCAATAGCCGAATTGACCAAGCAGAAGAAAGAATATCTGAAGTCGAAGACCAACTCAATGAAATAAAACGAGAAACCAAGATCAGAGAAAAAAGCGCAAAAAGGAATGAACAAAGTCTCCAAGAAATGTGGGACTATGTGAAAAGACCTAACCTACGTTTGATAGGTGTACCAGAAGGGGACGAAGAGAATGAATCCAAGCTGGAAAATACTCTTCAGGACATCATCCAGGAAAATTTCCCCCACCTAGCAAGACAAGCCAACACTCAATTACAGGAAATACAGAGAACACCACAAAGATATTCCGCAAGAAGAGCAACCCCAAGGCACATAATCGTCAGATTCAACAGGGTTGAAATAAAGGAGAGAATACTAAGGGCAGCCAGAGAGAAAGGTCGGGTCACCCACAAAGGGAAGCCCATCAGACTCACAGCAGATCTCTCGGCAGAAACACTACAAGCCAGAAGAGAGTGGGGGCCAATATTCAACATTCTTAAAGAAAAGAACTTTCAACCCAGAATTTCATATCCAGCCAAACTGAGCTTCAGAAGTGAAGGAAGAATAAAATCCTTTGCGAACAAGCAAGTACTCAGAGATTTTGTCACCACCAGGCCTGCTTTACAAGAGCTCCTAAAAGAGGCACTACACATAAAAAGGATCAATCAGTACCAGCCATTCCAAAATCACACTGAATGCTAAAGAGCTTCAACATAATGAAGAATCTACAACAACTAACAGGCAAAACAGCCACTTAGCATCAAAATGGCAGTATCAAATTCACACATAACAATATTAACCCTAAATGTAAATGGACTAAATGCACCAATCAAAAGACACAGACTGGCAAATTGGATAAAAATCCAAAACCCATCAGTGTGCTGTATCCAGGAAACCCATCTCACATGCAAGGATACACAAAGGCTCAAAATAAAGGGATGGAGGAAGATTTACCAAGCTAATGGAAAGCAAAAAAAAGCAGGAGTTGCAATTCTCATCTCTGATAAAATAGACTTTAAACCAACAAAGATCAAAAGAGACAAAGAAGGCCATTACGTAATGGTAAAAGGATCGATACAACAAGAAGAGCTAACGATCCTAAACATATATGGACCCAACGCAGGAGCACCCAGATACATAAGGCAAGTTCTTAATGACTTACAAAAGGACTTAGACTCCCACACAATAATAGTGGGAGACTTTAACACTCCACTGTCAATACTAGACAGATCAACCAGACAAAAATTCAACAAGGATATCCAGGGCTTGAACTCAGACCTGGAGCAAGCAAACCTGGTGGACATTTACAGAACTCTCCACCCCAAATCCACAGAATACACATTCTTCTCAGCACCACATCACACCTACTCTAAAATTGACCACATAATTGAAAGTAAAGCACTGCTCAACAAATGCAAAACAACTGAAATCATAACAAACAGCCTCTCAGACCATAGTGCAATCAAGTTAGAACTCAGAATTCAGAAACCGACCCAGAACCGCACAGCTTCATGGAAACTGAATAACTGGCTCTTGAATGTTGACTGGGTAAACAACGAAATGAAGGCAGAAATAAAGAAGTTCTTCGAAACCAATGAGAACGAAGACACAACGTGCCAGAACCTCTGGGACACATTTAAAGCAGTCTCTAGAGAAAAGTATATACCAATAAGTGCCCATATGAGGAGAATGGAGAGATCCAAAATTGACACCCTATCGTCAAAATTGAAAGAGCTAGAGGAGCAAGATCAAAAAAAACTCAAAACCCAGCAGAAGACAAGAAATTACTAAGATCAGAGCTGAGCTGAAGGAGATTGAGACACGAAAAACCCTTCAAAAAATCAATAAATCCAAGAGCTGCTTTTTTGAAAAGATCAACAAAATAGACAGACCACTAGCCAGACTGAATAAAAATAAAAGAGAGAACAACCAAATAGATGCAATAAAAAATGATAACGGGGAAATCACCACAGATTCCACAGAAATTCAAACCATCATCAGAGAATATTACAAACAACTATATGCGCATAAACTAGTAAACCTGGAAGAAATGGATAAATTCCTGGACTCCTGTGTCCTCCCAAGCCTAAACCAGGAGGAAGCTGAAACTATGAATAGACCAATAACAAGGTCTGAAGTCGAGGCAGCAATTAAGAGCCTACCTCACAAAAAAAGCCCAGGTCCAGATGGGTTCACAGCCAAATTCTACCAGACACACAAGGAGGAGCTGGTACCATTCCTTCTAAAACTATTTCAAACAATCCAAAAGGAGGGAATCCTTCCCAAATCATTTTATGAGACCAACATCATCCTGATACCAAAACCCGGCAGAGACCCAACGAGAAAAGAAAACTTCAGGCCAATATCCATGATGAACATAGATGCAAAAATCTTCAATAAAATATTGGCAAGCCGATTGTAACAGCAAATCAAAAAACTTATTCATCATGATCAAGTAGGATTCATCCCGGGGATACAAGGCTGGTTCAACATACGCAAGTCTATAAACGTAATTCACCACATAAACAGAACCAAAAACAAAAACCACATGGTTATCTCAATTGACGCAGAGAAGGCATTTGACAAAATTCAACAGCCCTTTATGCTAAAAACCCTCAATAAACTCGGTATCGATGGAACGTATCTCAAAGTAATAAAAGCTATTTATGACAAACCAACAGCCAATATCATACTGAATGGGCAAAAACTGGAAGCATTCCCTTTGAAATCTGGCACTACACAAGGATGCCCTCTCTCACCACTGGTATTCAATATAGTACTGGAAGTTCTAGCCAGAGCAATCAGGCAAGAAAAAGAAATAAACGGTATTCAAATAGGAAAGGTGGAAGCCAAATTGTCTCTATTTGCAGACGACATGATAGTATACCTAGAAGACCCCATCACCTCAGCCCAAAAACTCCTGAAACTGATAAACAACTTCAGCAAAGTCTCAGGATATAAAATCAATGTGCAAAAATCACAAGCATTCGTCTACACCAATAACAGACTTAAAGAAAGCCAAATCAAGAGTGAACTGCCATTCGCAATTGCTACAAAAAGAATAAAATACCTTGGAATACAACTCACAAGGAACGTAAGGGACCTCTTCAAGGAGAACTACAAACCACTGCTCAACGAAATCAGAGAGGACACAAATAGATGGAGAAACATTCCATGTTCATGGTTAGGAAGAATTAATATCGTGAAAATGGCTATACTGCCCAAAGTAATTTACAGAATCAACGCTATCCCCATCAAGCTACCATTGACTTTCTTCACAGAACTGGAAAAAACCACCATGAACTTCATATGGAACCAAAAGAGAGCCCGCATAGCCAAGTCAATTCTAAGCAAAAAGAACACAGCGGGGGGCATCACACTACCGGATTTCAAACTATACTACAAGGCTACAGTAATCAAAACAGCATGGTACTGGTACCAAAACAGAGATATAGACCAATGGAACAAAACAGAGGCACCGGAGGCAACACAACATACATACAACTATACAATCTTTGATAAACCTGACAAAAACAAGCAATGGGGCAAGGATTCCATGTTTAACAAATGGTGTTGGGAAAACTGGCTAGCCATGTGCAGAAAGCAGAAACTGGACCCCTTCCTGACACCTTACACTAAAATTAACTCCAGATGGATTAAAGACTTAAACATAAGACCTGGCACCATAAAAACCCTAGAAGGAAATCTAGGCAAAACTATCCAGGACATAGGAGTAGGCAAGGACTTCATGAACAAAACACCAAGAGCATTGGCAACAAAAGCCAAAATAGACAAATGGGACCTAATGAAACTCCACAACTTCTGCACGGCAAAAGAAACAGTCACTAGAGTGGATCGGCAACCAACAGAATGGGAAAAAATTTTCGCAGTCTACCCATCTGACAAAGGGCTGATATCCAGAATTTACAAAGAACTCAAGCAGATTTACAGGAAAAAAACAAACAAGCCCATTCAAAAGTGGGCAAAGGATATGAACAGATACTTTACGAAAGAAGACATATATGAGGCCAACAATCATATGAAAAAATGCTCATCGTCACTGGTCATCAGAGAGATGCAAATCAAAACCACATTGAGATACCATCTCACGCCAGTTAGAATGGCGATCATTAAAAAATCTGGAGACAACAGATGCTGGAGAGGATGTGGAGAAAAAGGAACACTTTTACACTGTTGGTGGGAGTGTAAATTAGTCCAACCATTGTGGAAGACGGTGTGGCGATTCCTCAAGGCCTTAGAAATAGAAATTCCATTTGACCCAGCAATCCCATTACTGGGTATATGTCCAAAAGACTATAAATCGTTCTACTATAAGGACACATGTACACGAATGTTCATTGCAGCACTGTTTACAATAGCAAAGACCTGGAATCAACCCAAATGCCCATTGATAATAGACTGGATTGGAAAAATGTGGCACATATACACCATGGAATATTATGCAGCAATCAGAAATGATGAGTTCGTGTCGTTTGTAGGGACATGGATGAATCTGGAGAACATCATCCTCAGCAAACTGACACAAGAACAGAAAATGAAACACCGCATATTCTCACTCATAGGTGGGTGATGAAAAATGAGAACACATGGACACAGAAAGGGGAGTACTAAACACTGGGGTCTATTGGGGGGAAAAGGGGAGGGCCAGTGGGAGGGGGAGGTGGGGAGGGATAGCCTGGGGAGAAATGCCAAATGTGGGTGAAGGGGAGAAGAAAAGCAAAGCACACTGCCATGTGTGTACCTACGCAACTGTCTCGCATGCTCTGCTCATGTACCCCAAAACCTATAATCAAATAAAAAATTAAAAAAAAAAAAAAAAAGAAATAACAACAACTTAAAACATACTTAAAGTAAGGTAGACATCTGAAAATAATACACAGTAGCGGTGTCAACAGCTTTACTTTATGCTTTACTACTTACAGAATCTAAATAGAGGTTGAGTTTTCCATGATCATATTCCACTTTCTTCACTGTCTCGCTCAGAGGAATTGCATCTGAAGGCACCATAAAGCCACTGAGTAGGTTAACTTCCATAAGAGCCATGCCACTCCTATCTGGGCCCCAAAACCTAAATCAAAGAGGGGAAGATGAATGAAAACTCCTCAGGAAAAACCTAAAGCTATTATCAAATTATCTTCATATAAAAATCAAACCCATCAAATTTTATTCCAGATACTGTTTAAGTTCAAATAAAATTCACTATAGAGAATTTTAAAATAGGTTATCATTTTCTTACATGTGTGGTATTCTTATAGCTTTCGATCATGTAAGAAATAATGATACAACAATGTGTTCATTTGGCAGATGGTATGCAATGCCTGCAATGTCACAGGCTTGCACTGATAAACTGTAGCGGAACAACATACACCCTTTCAACAGACAACTCTTTTCTAGTGGGGATTCCAAACTGAATTGCATTTCTCCTTTTCTCAAAAGTTGACAGCACCAAACTTCTAAGCTGAAAGCCAGGCCCAGAGAGGGAGGCATGACTTGACAACTTAGCGATAGGCCCCGTCCAAGGTCTTAGCAACCTTTTATTCATCTGGTTTTAGAAACATCAGACCAGCAGAGAGAGGCCTTCCCTTTGTTTTCCCATATACTTGAAAAACATTTTGTGTTTTCTTTGGCTGCTGTGAGGAATTACAAGCCTTGGAAAGTTTTATTATACTGCTTCCTTCTCTCACCCCATTGTACATAATGTGAGCATCAAAGGATCTGGGCACCAGCAACATTTTGTCTCCTTGAAGATAAATATTTTTCTAAAATGAATTTATGGCAAGAGCTTTTCATTTGGAGCAGAAGGAGCCCAGCTAAGTGATTAAGGAAAGATGTTTGCCTCCAATGTAAAAGGATCACAGCATTAAGTTAGTACCTGTTGTCCTTTTAAATGGCAAAAGGAAGAAGGGCTGTTAGAAAAATATTGCTTTTTAGAGCAGCAAACTCATGCCTGCCAAACATGACTGATTGAAAAGCCACACAGCACAACTGCTGACTTCAGCTGGCTCTGCAATCCAAAGCAACTGAAACCATCTGCTGACAATGCACTAAGCCAAAATAGATGTTACTGAAAACTAATAAATGGATTGAAACTAGAGGTGTTTGCATATGAGAAAAAATTACAGATGAGAAAAAACAGTCAATATGCTTAAATACTTAAAAAGCAAAATGCAGATTATACTTTCAGTACATCATTAAGAGTGCCTTGGTTGATCTGATCTCGCTACCCGCCTGGGGCAGAATTTGTTAAACTATTATGCCACACAGAAAGACTGGTATGACGTAAGGTCTTGGATCCTGTTGATAGGAATCAAGTGTCAGAAATACCAGGTAGTCTTTTTATAATGTGCTGCTGAAAAAATACACTTAAATGTTATTTGTCTTTCATACCAAATTTTTCTCAGAAAACTAGTAGCAGCATTTAAACCCTTTTTATAAAACCCCTACCCTCACATGAAAACATTTCCCTTCTTCATGCTCTACCTACCACCTGAACTCTGTTGTCCATCTGATTCCTGACATGTGGATAAGATTGGAAATCCTGCATCCTTACATGAGCCCCTATAAATGAATGCTGAGGCCTCTTCACAGCCTAAATCCTGGTTCCACCTCATTTTCCTCATGTTTCTTCACCTGATATCTCTTAAGAGGCAAAAATATCCCTCTCATAACTCCATGAGGGTCTTCTTTAGCCTTTTCAAAACTAGAATTTTAGACCTGCTTAGGGGATGTTTTCCATTAATTTATGTATCCCCCTCAAACACCAATTTCCACGAGGGCAGAGCTTGTGTCTTTTTTGGCTTACAATTATATTCCCACAGCTGACACACAGACACTATGCCTGGCACATAGTAGAGACTCAACCAATATTTGCTAAGGGAATAAATAAATGAATGAGAAAAGCAGGAATAGGCATGCCTATAAGCCCAGCTCTTTGGGAGGCCAAGGTACGAGGATCACTTGAGGCCAGGAATTCGAGAAAAGCAGGAATAATAATAATACGTACTTTACAGATTTACTGTAAGAATTAAATGAGATGCATGTCAAAGTGCTTGGTACAGTGCCTGGCATATAAGTTTGTAATTACTGTAGGTTATTATTGTTTATAATAATAATAATAACTTGTTGTTATTCTATAACAGAGACCAATTGCAAGATTAGTAAAAAGTAATTGGAGTCCTATTTTCTTCTCAGCTGAAAAGGATGCCACTGCAGAGATTCTAATATCCCTTTGCTGCTGGCCTGAAATGCCCAAGAAGGTGAAGAATGGGGCAAATGTGTGACACTCTACCCCAAAATCAAGAATGAGAAGGTCCAAAGATAAGAAAGACAGTAGGAGTAATGGCAGAGACTGGGTCCAGGTAATGGCTGTGAAGGCTGGCCACCAGGATGTACACCCAGAGATGAGCTTGAAGAACACCTGCCAGCTCAGGACCACATCAGGGACTTCTAGCCCAACAATAAGCCAAGTTAAATCAGGATGCTATGGGACATTTTAGAAGAGCAGACAGCAGCTCCTCAATGTCAGTGCATCTTTAACTCCCAGCTCAATGTCAAATAATGCATATGTAATAGGATAGATTCACGAAAAAAAAAATAAAGTGAAGCCTCTGTAAGAACATTCACAAGGAGTATACTCAAACTCTTGTGTGCAGTAGAATGATGCAGCTTCCCAGCCTTACTGTGAAGTCAGTAGGGTTGAGATAGAACCCTTCTTTCTTATGACTTAAGATTCTCAGATGCTTTGATACAGAACAATTTAAGAATCAACTTAAAAAGTACTCCTGGAAGCTTAAGTTGTTAAGCATCTAATTATCCAAGATGAGAACCTCCTAAACTGGGATATTTTCAACATATCTAAAAAAAAAAACTATCCTCCTGATTGAATTTGCAAGTTATCATAAAGTTTTGGGTTAAATGCATAACAGTTAAGGTTCAATATGAACCTGAAATTATTATTTCAACAGAAAAATAACTCATAACAAGAAATAACCATTTTTGGAGTATTAAATATGATTGACTCAATTTGAAGTCTTCCTAAATTAGATCTGAGTTTTATTAATGTATATATATATATATACATTGTTCTTTTCAAATTTGTTACATATTCAGGGAAAACATAAATTTTGTGTGCATCTAATAAATGTTTGAATATAATTAGTATTTCTAGTTTGTAATATGAAGTGTGGTGCATTACTGAATTCTTTGTTCAATATAACTTCTTATATTGACATAGACAACTATATATAATTGAATCTTCAAGTCTATTTTTTAAAGGAAAAAACAAGAGAGACCTAAGCAGACGTTTACCTTGTGCACACATTTAAATCCACATGATTCGGATCATCTTTATTATCTTTTACAGCAACATCTAAGTCAAAGGCTTCTTGGTTTTGGATAGATCTTCGTCTTCTAGGAGACTCAAAATCTTTCACATTATATACAACATTGAGCTGTAAAAAATAAACTAGTATAAATAATAAATTGGACATAAATTTCCAACATTATGCTTTCTAAATACTATGCTAGTTAATGATTCTCTTTGGAAGAACCCAGTAAGATTTTTAATCTTCAAACTAGAAAAAACATTAATTTTACTGGCTAACAAAGTATCACTATTAACAAATATTATTACAATGTATAAAATTATTTTTAATGGAGAAATTTGTTAAGTAATATTTAGAAACAAGAATAATAAAACACTCTGGGTGATATCTGGGGATACACTTTGTCAAAGAAGGTAAACAGTCCCTTGAAGGAAAAACTTTCTTGAGAGCATTCACTAATTTCTAAGGCCTGTTTCCCAAATGGGGTCATTTTTCACTGCCTAGAACTTTAGAAACTCTCAGTAGGATAAATCAAAACTAAAACATTGAAGAGCCTTAGTTTAACATTGCTGAGGATTTTTTGTTGTTGTTCATACAACGTTTGTCAAAAATGATAAAATAAACGACAGCTTTCAAGTCAACTGGGTCTTTCTCAGCGTCTATTCAGTACCCATTGCTGAGGTTAAAAGTGCTGTAGACACGCTGGGGGAGCTTGAGGACCCCATCCTTCTCAAAGCTTCCTAAATCAGAAGCTTGGGGAAGCACTCAAAACTTCCTAGGCCAGTCTCATCCCAGATGGACTGGAATCTACTTACATGTTCTATCTCGTCCCCTTTTTAATAACAAGGTTCATAAAGCTTACTGCTGCTTTGTAAGGTTGTATTTTCTTTTAACTTAAACCTAAAACATATACACATATGCACACACACATACACCCCCCCCTCAGAACTAACATCTAATATCACTCATGGATTTGCATACTTTAAAAAATCATCTAAAGTAAGTCTTCATTTTTCAAATCTGAAAGTTACAATCTTTTTATTCTGCCACAATCCAAACTCATATACTCCTTCATCCCCTTGATCACTCTGGTTATCTCACTTTGGACATTCTTCAACTCTTTCTTAAAGTGTAATGATTAAATTATAGAGTATTCCTGAAGCAGCTGAAGAACAGTCTCATACAATTGAAGGGATGCTCTCTATTACTTCCACCATTCCCTTTCCAGTGGCACACAACTGTTCTTTTAAAGACCAATGCTGTCAGGAAACAGACAAGGACTACTCTATTTGTCTCTTGGGCCATAACTAAGTATTAGGGTTTTCATTTGGCAGTAAAGCTCAACTGCTCACTCAGGGAACTTCCAAAGATCTTGCAGTTTATTTCCAACGGTTTAGCATTTTATTACCCAAAAGGGGTAATATTTACTGCAAACTCATGAGTATTAAAATATTAAAGTTTAGCATTTTATTACCCAAAAGAGGGTAATATTTCCTGCAAACTCGTGAGTATTAAAATATCAACTGTAAGAAATCTCAATACCCATTCCTGGGTGACCAACTTCTTTGTATTTTTTTTCCTCCCTCATGAAAAATGCCTACTGGTCCCTCTGCATTTTGAGACTGATATGAAATTGGTGAACTTTCTGACAAGCAGGTACCACATTTAACCCTGTGTCCTTCAAGCCTCAAGTAAAAATCACTTGGTTTCAGTAATTTCTCTACATTCAGTTTATCAAAAATGAATCCCAACCAACTTGGTGATTTAAGTATATGTAATTTTTCAGTTTTATCTAGAACACACTGAATATTTACTTTTGGATTTACTCTTGGATAGCAAGAAAGCTTGAGAATGAGAATTTTCCCATGGTCTTTGTTAGTAAAGACCAAAATAAATTATTCACTGTCTCTTTCTGTCCTTTTCACTGAATATCATTCCCTTTCACTGTGATCGTTTTTTTTTCCTCTTTTTTTTTTTTTTTTTTTTTTTTTGAGACAGAATCTTGCTCCATTACCAGGCGCCAGGCGCCAGGCTGGAGTGCAGTGGCACAATCTCAGCTCACTGCAACCTCCACCTCCCGGGTTCAAGTAATTCTCCTGCGTCAGCCTCCCAAGTAGCTGAAACTGCAGGCACGCACTACCATGCCCAGCTAATTTTTGTATTTTTAGTAGAGACAGGGTTTCACCACATTGACCAGGGTAGGGTGGTCTCTATGTCTTGACCTCGTGATCTGCCCGCCTTGGCCTCCCAAAGTGCTGGGATTACAAGTGTGAACCATCACACCCAGCCAATCATTTTTCCTTTAGTTTTAAAAAAAAAAAAGGTTTACTGTGTTCTGAGCATCATACAAAATAATCTTAGAATTATTTGGAAGCTTCTAAATTATACGTGCTTAGCAAGGTATAACTGCCATACTCACCAAGTATACCTGTTCTCTCAACTAGAATGATTGTACTAGTTTTCAAAAAAGTACTTTAGCTCCATAATAGCCTTTTTTTAACTTTCTCAGTAAGTGTTTCAGTGTTTTTCTTGTTTGTTTGTTTCTACCCAAGCACACAACCATTTCTGGTCCTATTACGTATTATCTTGGGGTTCTAATGAGATGATTTTAAGGTCCTCAAGACTTTTATGTACTCTTTTGAATAATGATTATTTTATTCAGTATTTTTCATCCTACTTTCATTTTCTTGTAGCTCCTGCTGCACCGTAACAATGTAAGTTTCTTTAGATTTTTCTTCCTATACCACAGCATTGAACATAATTATGCTGTGGTATAGGAAGAAAAATCTAAAGAAATTTACATTGTTATATTTACTATTATATAAGATTTTACATTAAAGGGACACAATTCCTCCCTTCAAGTCAATAATTCTATTATGTTGACAGTAATTCTACCATATTATCAGATGACTATTAAGAAATTGTGAGTAAAACATTTGCTTATTATTGGGAATCATATTGGAGGATTTTTAACCCTCACCTCAAAAAGCAAATAATCTCCAATAAATATTTTTCAAATAGAAAATCAGTCTATATACTTGCTCTCTACTCACTGGCTGGCAACATCTCTAACACTTTTTATTAAAGACAGTGATATATCTTGTTTAAGTCATAGATGTATATCATTAAGAACTATATTCAAGTTATCTAGCAAAACCCCAAACCAAATAATTATTATAAAAAGTCATATTTAACTTAAAAAATTAGCATTGTTACATACCTGACAAATAGCAAATCCAAAACCACTTGCAGAAATATTAACTGCAGTTGGCTGTACCACAGCAAGCTGAATCAAGGTAAAAAAAAAAAAAAGTGAATGAAGCTAATGTTCCATATGTAGAGCCTTCCAAGGAGCAAAACAGATCAGCCCTATCCCTCATTAGGAGCAGAAGCAATCACTGGCAGCACCAGCACTAAGAGCTTTGCACTGTCTCACATACCAAAAGCTATGAGTCAAATAGGTAAGCAAGGTGATGGCAGGAAAAGTGCACACTCTCCAAGCTCCCTCACTTCTGCCCATGGGAGGACCTTAATGCTACTTACAAGTCTGTCCTCCTGTTGGGGTTGAAATATAAAAGACAAGAAACTAAAGTCATCTCCCTCCCCTGACCTTCCTGAATCAGGGCCTAATCCCCTGGCTTTCCTAGAAGCACAATAACATATTGTCTATGACTGTGACTAACTTTATTCCTTCTTTTCCTTTACCATCACCACTCTTCCTCACTTTCCAGAATTGAAGCAATCACCTTCGTCCATTGTATTCAACCTCCCCCAAAATTGACCAAGGGAATAAAGTTAAAAACTAGCATATTCTTTTCTTCCAGTTGAAGTAAGAATTCTACTACTAGTTCTATCAATTCTTCTAAGAAGACATGTGGAACAGCTGAAAGAACATGGTCTTTGGAATAATGAGTTGAAATTCTAGCTCTACTGTTACTAGTAACATGATCTTGAGCAAGTCACTTAACCTCTCTCAGCCTCAGTTTTATCACATGTATGATGGGGATAAGTGTACTTACTTCTGAGAGTTACTTTGAGAAGTAAATGCAATAGCATATGTAAAGTAATCTAGCATAGTGCCTGTGAAGAACAGAAACTCAGCAGGTTTCTATGTTCATTCCTTTCCCAATGTTAAACATTGCCCATGTTTTCTCCTGTCCCACCAATCTTTCCAAAGTTCCCCACACTTCCAGAGCTCAGCAAATTCAACCAAAGGAGAGCACCACTCTTCCCTATTCCTCTACAGAGCTCTGGAAACAAGTCTTTGTTGAAATCAACAGATTACAAATAAAGCAGTACTCCAGCATAAAGAATCATCTAAACAGATTTTTAAATAAATTGCCTCTTGCCCACACCTCTGCTGTCTGAAGGAGTAAGCGATTGTGTGTGTCAATCCGAAAGTTTACAGGACTTGGTGAGCTAGGCCCCATCACGGTCACTTGGATATTGGTCCTTTCTGTATTCATTAGGGCTGCAAATTCAGACAAGGCCTTTAAAGCCACAATGGTATCCTGTTGAGGGAAGAAAAATATTTGTGCATATAAGTATAAACCAAGGTTTTCAGAGAGTAAATTTAGTTGTGGTTTGTCGCTATATATTCATCCACCTTCCTTCAGAGTGGAATGCTTCCTGACTCATATTTGAATCACCTTGCTAGAGTACAGAAGAGGCTCAGAAAATGTTTGCTGAAATGTTTCATAGTTTTCAGTGTACAGGTCTTACTGATTTTTGTCAGATTAATCCCTAAATAGTTCACATTTTATGCTATTTTGATTTGAGTTTCCATTGCTCATATATAGATACAATGGATTTCTGTACACTGATTTTTTTTACACCACAATGTTAAACTCACTAAACTCACTTGTTAATTCTAGTAGCATTTTTGTAGATTGGAATTTTGCACATAAATGATCACATTACCAGTAAATTAAAAGTTTCAGTTTTTCTTTTCCAAAAAAAGAAAAGAAAATAGAAAATATTTGCTGTATGAAACTGAGCATCTACTCTTACATTAGTTACCACAGATGAAAAATGGCAAATATAGATGGGAAACTGATTTATTCCATATAAATATCAGATATAAAGTTCATAATAATGAGGAGAAAAAAACTAAAATTGGTGAATTTAGCCTTTGGCTTAAGTTACTAAACTTCGAAACTGCCAAGTAATTTTATAAAATCAAGGAAAATGTGCAACCACATACTTCCATATGTGTGTGTGTATGTGTGTGTGTATATATACATATATTACATATATGTGTGTATATGTGTGTATATACATGACATATATATGTGTGTATATATGTATATATATACATAGATATATAATATATAGTTTAAATACTATAATACTCATATACATCTAAATGTATATTAGTATTACTATAATGCATAGATATGTAATAGTATAATACATATAAATACTATAATACATATATATAATGTTATTTAAACTATATACTATAGTTTAAAGGGAAAGAAACTCTCATCTCTCACCTGAGTAGATGCAAAACCACCCAAGCTATTTCTTTGCCTGCTTAGCCACCTCATAATTGGGATTCCCTCAGAAGCCTGAAATTGTAGGAAGTGTGAGAGCAGCGCATAGGCTGCAACTTCAATATCCAGGGAGCGTGGCTGCCAGGAGTCAGAAAGTTTGGACTCTGATGACACCCAGAATTGCATGCCACCTGAAAGAAAAGTAATAACATCCTGATCATTTATCCAGAAAAATTATATTTTGTACGATTAAATATTCCTACTCTGGTCCAAGTTGTACTTAACTAGCATAAATAAAAAAAAAATATATATATATACACACACACACACACACACACACACACACACACATACACATTTGTATACAGGTATTTATTTATGCCAAACATGTATTTATTTATCAAAAACACACACACAGACATATGTATACACGTACAAGCATGTCACTTTTTTAAACTATTACAAGTTAAGCATAGCTTATCCAAAAAGCTTGGGGCCAGAAATGTGTCCAATTTCTGATTTGTTTAAATTTTTGGAACATTTACAGAATACATACATTCCAAAGTCTAAAATGCTTGAAAATCAGAAACTTTTTGAGCACTGACATGATATTCAAAGGAAATGCTCATTGGAGCATTTTGGATTTCATATTTTTTGATTAGGGATGCTCAACCTATATACTTATACATTTTCATCCTTTTCCCATTGCCTACATTTGAGGATGTTTTGATGAAAATAGTTTTCCTAAGAGAAATTCCATATGTTTGGCTCAAGACTAACTATAAATAAAAGGAAAATTAATATATTCCAGAAGAGAAAATACATTACTTATCTGAACAGGCCATCCCCAAAATGTTGTAGTACACACTGAAAATAACCCTATTCTGGGAATCTGCCATTAACTAGTTCTAATGTTCTGGAGAGACTCTTCCATTTTCATTATCTGAAGGTTGATGTTAGAAGTTCGAGGTTCAAGCCCCCAAGAAAAAAATTAGGAACCCCAGCCAACTCAACAAATTTCCTAGCGATAACTCTGCTCTATCCCCCAGAGGACTATCCTACTTGGTGCCCTCTCTCAAATATTAACTATTTAGATAATGATTACACTTAGGTGGAATATTAAATAACTACCATTTAGCCAAGCAGACAAGAAGAAAAAATGTCAAAGACTGCTTCAGCCTCTATGCAATAATCTTCTAGTCCCCAGCTTTGGAACAGGTAATAAGAATTCAATCTAAGTTATTACTAATATAATATTTTTTACAGACACAGAGGCCTCTAAACACTTTCTACAATTATCCCTTTTTGAATTAACAGAAGTTTGAATCACTGGACATTATCTTATTTCTGGCCACCCACTCCCATCTCTCTCTTACACAACCCTAGATCGCTGTCCACTTTATATATAAAATGCACATAATTCACTTACTAGCAGCATTTTTTGGTATTCACATTTCTTTCAATTAGCATTTCTTTTAGTCCTATTTTTGAGCACTTGCTATGCAGCAGCACTGCACATTATCTCATTTAATCCTCACAGCAATTTTAAAATAGGTGTTATTCCCACTTTACAGTTGGGAAAACTGAACCTCATAAAGGTAAGGTACAGAACCAGAATTTGAACCTAAGTCTCTCCAGAACCCAAGGTCTTAGCAAACTACAAGGCTGCCAAACCAGAAATGGTATCAGATACTTAAAGGGTAACTGATATTGAGCATGACATATCTAAAATAAAGAGATATCTGAGCCCTGAAATTGCATTGTGGCCATGTCAGGCCCATCCTGATCTCATTGTGTGTTTTACTTTTCATCAAAAGATGCAGATGTAATCAATTTCAAACCTGGCTAAAAATTTTTCTCATGTAAGTTATATATTTCATAATGCACAACAACCTCAAATGGGCCTGGCACATTACCTTCTTCTTCTGCTCTCCAAGTCAGCATATTCAAAGCTTCCTTCGCTTTAGGACTCCCCACCGATGATAATGCATATGTTATAAGAGCTAGAGTATAATTGTCTAAAATTTCTCTGCTGAATTCAGACTCCAAGAAATTGATAGACTCTTGCACATCAATGTTAGGCTTAGAAGAAAAAAAGTATATTTTTTACTATTCAAAGTAACCCATTACCACATATTGAAACAAAAAGTACTTTGAAACAAGGTCATTTAAAAAATAAGTTCAGCATCTATGAAGCACCTGACCTTGTCCTAGGCAATGAAAATCAACCATAATCATTGACATTTAAAGATTTGCCATGCATTTTTAAAATAATACTGTTTTCAGTTTTTATAAGTAAACACATGTCATTCCTTAGAAGAAAAAAGGAGCGCTTTTGCCAGTGTTTCTCCCACTCAGTATCATAAGCTCAGATGAGAACAGCAAACTCCTCGAGAAATGTATTTCTTATATTTGATCTCTGGTATTGCAGCTCTAAGTTTAGGAAAAGTTTAGCTTCTAGAAGCCTAGTAGTAGAACAGGAAAATAGTGGAGGGCCAAATAAAGAGAAAGAATGGCTTTGGTGATCTCATAAAATACAGGTAAAGGCATCAATCACCAGGATAGCTCTGGAGCCAACTTAAGCTCATCAGCATTACCTTCCATGCATACTCATTCTCATCCAGGTATCCATGCCCATTCAACACACGTTTCAGGGCATGGGTGTTCTCAGCACTAAATTAACAGACATTGGAACTCTTCCATGATGTTTTAGAAATAAAAAATCTTTCACAACCTAAACTTACTAGAATGCATTGTCAAATTCTAAATAATTTTCTTTCCCCTCAGAAATTAACTTTTCCAATGATAAAACATGTATTGACTTATCTTACCAATAGCAAGTAAAATACATACATTCAAAAGCATTTCTGTAATTTTCTTAGTTACTCTGAAAGAGTGGATTAATGTTTTTATCCTCAGATTTCGGAACATGGCCAGAAATGCAAGCAAAAGGGCACATGGGTTGTAAAATCGCAACTTTTTAAGTTTCCACATACATATTTGACCCATTAAGACCTACCCTCCTTGAATTTCCCATCTATCATTTATTAAATTAAAGATGAAATACCTGATACTTTCTATATCCCAGGAGAGAAGTCACAATATAGGCTGTAAGTGTTACTGGACTTTTATTGCCACTTTGAAGCTCACTATGAATCACTCTTCCTGGCTCCCAAAATTCACCATTGGATTTCTGACGTCCTTTAAGCCAAGTATATGTTCTGTGTAACACATTCTGATCAATATCTATGTAAGGATCAGCTTCAAGGAAGCATCTTAAAACAAAAGCTGACAACCTTTATGAAAAGGGAGGGAAAAAAACACATAAAATACACTTTATAAGGTCCACCAAGTAACACTGAGCAAGCAAAACAACAACACTTTTTCCCCCATTAGAATATTCACCAAAGGGAGAATCAATGAAGATGGAACAAAGGAAAGAAAAACAGTAAACAGACAAGGTAAGCAACTCTCTCTTGCAGACAGACCTGGTTTCCACTTGAGCATGGCCAAGAAATGCCATGTTGACTCAAAAATATCAGATTTGGAAAGGAATTTAGAAATTACTTAATCCAGCCCATTATTTTGTAGACTGAGAATTTGACAGTCCAAGAGAGTTAAATAAATTGTCCAAGGTTATTCATCTTTGGATTGTTCTAGATATTTACCAAAGAAGAGCTCAAACACACTTCACTCAGCCCCACAGCTGTGGATGAAGAATGTATACATAGTTCACAAGCAAACTGTAGTACTTCAACCGGGGGAAATGATATTTTTCTCTCCTATAGGACAGGAGTTAGCCAACTGCGACCTATGGGCCAAATCTGCCTGGCCTAGATCTGGGCCTCAGGCCAAACATACCCAAGGACCTGTTTATGTGTGTACCACCCCCGCCCCCACCTGCCAACACCACCACCTAAGAGTGGTTTTTAAAAGGATAAAGAAAAGAAAAAAACAAAGACGGGAAAGAAAGGTGGATGAGAGTAAGGAAGAGGGAAGAGCATGTAACAGAGACATTATGTGGCTGGAAATACCTGAAATACTTACACTCTGACCCTTTACAGAAAAGTTTGCCAGTCCCTGCTACACAACACTATACTGAGGTTAAAAGAACATCAAGCAATAAAACACCGAAAGGTTTCTATTTATGGTTCTATATCCTGACTCAGGCCGAAAGAAAACTTGAAGCAGATCTGTTTCATGTTATGTAAGGTTTTGTGTGGTAAACATTACTAATATTCAATAATACCCAGTTCTGTTTAACTTCAGTTACACAGAGGAATTCACTTTCCTGCTCCATTGAGGTTAGGCATAGCCATGTGACCAGCTCTGAGAAGGATAAAATGAGTAGAAATGATACACTCAGGATGAAGTCTCTAATTGCCAGTGTTATATACTCCAGCCTCCTCTTTCCAGGCTGTGGAAAACCTGGACCCTCCTATTCAGATGTGGACACACTGGCAGCTGCAGAGCCCCCTGCTGACCACAATGGAAATGCAGCATGAACAAGAAATCCCACCATTGTGAACTGCTTTGCTTGAGTAGGTTGTTTGTTACCACAGAACTCCTAGTCTATCCTGATTGATACAGTGAGTCAATCTATTTCTAAGTAAAATAGAAAATTAAAGATAAGTACAAGAAGAGATAGTAATCATCCAAAATCAGCCACATAGAGATTCCAGTCTGAAGGAAATTGGCTGTTCATACTTAATTCCATCACTGTTCTTCACACACACACACACACACAGAGAATCTTAAAGAAACTATATTGACTGCATTAACACAACACTTGTATTAGTCATGGAAGATTAAGGAAAAAAGCTGTGTCACAATCACCCGGCATTTCTAAACTGATTTCATCAGCCGCACCATCATCATAAAAAGTATTTTTATTGCGATTTTTCCACAAACACACCAAAGAGGATTTATAACTTATCTTTTCTAAATAAAAACATTTGATTTGTTAATGTTTGAAAATAACACTTTAAAAACAGAATCTCTTTTTAAAGCCAGAGTAAGGGAAAAGCAGCCACCCAGTCTATAATATATAGAGATGTATCCGTCAATTTCATGGCTATTGTGACCTAAAGAAAGCCCATTCCATGACACAGATTTGTTCAGTTGGCAAAGACACTTACCAAGTGCTCCCAGAAGGGTCATCATTCCCAAAAGCACTGAAAGAGCCATCTTCCCTCTGATAAAGAAGTTCTCTCTGGTAACCTAAAGACACAAAAATGGACAGATACTCAAAATCAAAATAATCATTCACTTACAATGGATGAAAGTTTCTAATTAGGACTTCATGTTGAAGAAATATGGAAGAGAGGGGGAAAAAATTAATCAAACCAAGAGCTAATATTGAGTACTTTCTATTTTAAGTGCTGTCGAAAATTTAAAATGCCAGGACTTTTCACGTAAAATGTATAAAAGAAAAAACTTTGATATTCCAGCCAGGCACAGTGGTTCACACCTGTAATCCCAGCATTTTGGGAGAACAAGGCAGGTGGATTACCTGAAGTCAGGAGTCAAAAACCAGCTTGACCAACATGGTGAAACCCCATCTCTACTAAAAATACAAAAATTAGCTAGGCATGGTGGCCTATGTCTATAATCCCAGCTACTCAGGAGGCTGAGGTATGAGAATCACTTTAACCTAAGAGGCAGAGGTTGTCAGTGAGCCAAGATCGGACAATTGCACTCCAGCCTAGTCAACAAGAGTGAAATTCTGTCTCAAAAAAAGTGGTATCCCAAATTAAATTAAAAGATCACTATAGCATTGATACTTCTAGCCATTCAAAAGCAAGTAAATTAAAGGCAGATTTTTATTTAACTCTCTAGTGTTCCCTGTAATGGTTACAATGCTTAGTCATCTAGAATTGTTTGCTCCCAAGAAAGATACTATGTAGGGTATCATTAATTAAAGTTTAAGGCCGAAACAGAAAATATAAATATGTTCTATTCTTAGACCAGCAATAGAAAGGAGGAAATGCTACATAATCTAAGACAATAGCTCTTAAATGTTTTGGCCATGGCCAACTGAGGTAAACCAAAAAACCAACTTGCCTGCCATAGATGCAATAACATCTGACATAGATGCTATTATTATTCTCTTTTTTACAGATAATGTGACTGAAACTCAGAGGATACAGACACCATGTGCAAGGTCACACAGCTGACAGGGAGTGAAGTTGGGAATTAGCCAAGGTCTCACTGGCTCCAAGGCCACTGTCTCCTAGTATATCACAGAGCTCTTCCAATTATTAAACATAATAAACGATAGATTTGAGTATCTAAGTTACCCACCAATTCCATGTTTCCACTAACACACACACACACACACACACACACATATATACTTGTGGTGGCAATGAAGTAGCATTACAGAAGTAAATTGGGGCGGGGGTTAAGGCTCATGTATCTGCATTAAAAAAAACAGATGTGTCAAATTTGCAAATAGTTACAAATAATGATTGCAAATAAAAAGCAGATGTTTCATATTTGCAAAGCAACGCATACAGATCTCAAGACCAGTGTGAGAACTCATGGGCCAAACACTAAAGATTCACCAAACAACCCACAGTAAACTAACTTGCTAAAAATGAAGTTAAGATAGCAATAACTTATCACTTAAAAGCAAGCATTAGCAGAAACATTTCCAGCTCAAGGCATTATAATGACTCTCTGATAGCCAAAAATCCTTCCAAAAACTACAGGATTCCACTATTAGCAGGTGAGGGCACACAGCCTGAGCTTTGCAGCACAGCCAAGACAAAGCCTGGCAACCATATTCATTTGTGAAATGCTGAAATCATTCCCCAGCAAACTCCAGTAATAAACAAATTTGACTTTATGAATACCATATTTTAGAAGCATCCATAAGTATAAATAATATTCATATTTGACTAACTAAACATAAGCATTAATGGTTTGAAATTTCAGTTAATGTGCTCTTACCATCAAGTCCCAAACTTTTCTCCCTGAGTCCTTCCAAAAGAAACTTTAGATTTGAGAATCTACATTACAATAAAACAAAACGTGTAAAGAAAAAACATCCAAGATACTCTGCTTCATGGTAATATTTAAGACTTATGGTAAAAGAAATATAAACATTTATTTTTTTTTTTTTGATTTTTTTTTTTTTTTTTTTCTTTATTATTTTTTTTTTTTTTTTGTCTTTTTTTTTTTTTTTTTTTTTTTTGAGACAGAGTTTCGCTCTTGTTACCCAGGCTGGAGTGCAATGGCGCGATCTCGGCTCACCGCAACCTCCGCATCCTGGGTTCAGGCAATTCTCCTGCCTCAGCCTCCCGAGTAGCTGGGATTACAGGCACACACCACCATGCCCAGCTAATTTTTTTTATATTTTTAGTAGAGACGGGGTTTCACCATGTTGACCAGGATGGTCTCGATCTCTTGACTTTGTGATCCACCCGCCTCAGCCTCCCAAAGTGCTGGGATTACAGGCTTGAGCCACCGCGCCCGGCCAATATAAACATTTAAAGTGATGACAGAACTTTGCGTAATTTGAAGAAGGGAGCATTAGATTATATTCTTTATGTATAATAATGAGCCAACTTTGATTAAGCAGTCACTAGATGTCAGGAACTGTTCAAAGTCGTCAGGTAATTCTCAAAAGAACCCTCTGACATAGATGTTATTATTGTTCCCCTTTTTAGAGATAATGAGACTGAAACTCAAAGGATACAGACACCACGTGCAAGGTCACACAGGTGACAGGGAGTGAAGTTGGGAATTAGCCAAGGTCTCACTGGCTCCAAGGCCACTGTCTCCTAGTAAATCACAGAGCTCTTCCAGTGATTAAACAGGATAAAAGAAGAAAAGTCCTCAGTATAGTAGCTTTTACACGGCAAGCTCTCAATAAATATTAGGCATTACTCTCTAATATAGGTGTAGGGGAAGGCTTTCTAAGCACCACATGCAATAAACTAAATAAATTGATGCGTTTGACTATTTTTTAAAAGTCTTTAAACTGTTCCAAGGCAAAACACACTATAAGCAAGGCTTAACAAATAAATTAAAATAACATATCTGCAACATATAAGATGGATAAATAGCTAATATCAGCATTATGTAATTTTTATTTATATGTTATTACATACATGTATAAACATATAAAGAACTTTTTTAAATTTAGGGTAAAGGATGAAAACTCCTATAGAAGTAAGTGAATAAAGACAAAACAGGTAAGTCACAAAAGTAAAAAAAAAAAGGAAGACAAATTCTAATATAGAAAACATGTTTAACTTCATAATAGGAGAAACCCAAACCTACACTGAGATACCATTTCTCTCCCATCAGATTAGCCTTAAGATTCAAAAGTTTGACCACTCCTTCTGTTGGGTGAGCTGCATGGAAACCAGCATTGATCCACTGCTAGAGGAAATTCAGAAGGGTACAACTACCATGTAGGGGAATGCCTTTACCCTTTGATCCAGTAATCGCAGTTCTAGGAATCTACCCTGAAGATATACCTCCAACAAGACAAAAATATACATGCAGAAGATTATTCATTACAGCATTATTTGTAATTGTAATATAATGGCAACAATCTTAGTGCCCAACAACTGGAGACTGATTGACTATGGTACATATGCATGATGGAGTACTATGCAACTGTGAAAAAAGAATGAGGAATAGCTCTGTCAACTGAGGCAGAGTAATTTCCTGGATATACTGTTAAGTGAAAAAGGCAAAGTTAAAACACTACATATGGTACATACTATCTTCTGTATAATAAAAAGAGGAAATGAAGCAGGGCACCAGGGTTCACGCCTGTAATCCCAGCATTTTGGGAGGCCAATGAAAGTGGATCATTTGAGCCCAGGAGTTTGAGACCAGACTGGGCAACATGACAAAAGCCTATCTCTACTAAAAATAATTTTTTAAAAAATTCGCATGGTGACACACACCTGTCGTCCCAGCTGTTCGGGAGGCTGAGGGGGGAGAATCACCTGAGCCCAGAAAGTCAGGGCTGCAGTGGGCCATGATTGTGCCACTGCACTCTAGCCTGAGCAAAGGGAGAGGCCCTGTTTTTAGCAAAAGATGAGAGAGAAAAGAAAAACTAGAAACTAATGAAGTAAGTAGGTTACTGATATAGTTGGTATATTTGTCCCCACACAAATCTCATGTTGAATTATAATCCCCAATGTTGGAAGTAAGGCCCAGTGGGAGATCATTGAATCTTGGTGCTGTCCTTGAGATAGTGAGCAAGTTCTTGCAAGATCTGGTCATTTACCACTGTGTGGCATCACCCCCCAATACTGCTTCCCTTGTTCCTGTTTTCACCATGTGATATGCCTGCTCCCTCTTCGCCTTCTGCCACAGTTGTAAGCTTCCTGAGACCTTCCTAAAGGAAATGCCGGTGCCATGCTTCCTGCACACCCTGCAGAATTATGAGCCAATTATACTTTTCTTATAAATTACCCAGCCTCAGGTAGTTCTTTACAGTAACACAAGAACAGCCTGAAACAGTTACCATCAAGGGGTAGAGAGCAAGAAAAGGGGAAGAAGAGGCCCTCTTTTGAATATACTTCTCAAAATAAGTTAGTCTTTTGGAAGCATGTTAATGTTCTCCATGTTCAAAACATAAACAAACGTGGAAAAAATTAAATGATAAGTATTAACACTACTCTAGTTCATTTTATCATGTTTTAGTTTTCACATAACCTTTCTTTTTCATTTTATGCTATTCCTCCCTTAACCTGCAACCCCTTGGTATCCCTCCCCTATCCACCCACCCCAACATGCCCCAGTGTGTGATGTTCCCCTCCCTGTGTCCATGTCTTATCTTTCCCAACCCCCACTTATGAGTGAGAACATGTGGTATTTGGTTTTCTGTTCTTGTGTCAGTTTGCTGAGAATGATGGTTTCCAGCTTCATCCATGTCCCTACAAAGGACATGAACTCATCCTTTTTTATGGCTGTGTAGTGTATATGTGTCACATTTTCTTTATCCAGTCTATCATTGATGGGCATTTGGGTTGGTTCCAAGTCTTTGCTATTGTAAACAGTGCCACAATAAACATATGTGTGCATGGGCTTTATAATAGAATGATTTATAATCCTTTGGGTATATACCCAGTAATGGATTACTGGATCAAATGGTATTTCTAGTTCTAGATCCTTGAAGAATTGCCACACTGTCTTCCACAGTGGTTGAACTAATTTACACCAGCTCCTCTTTGTACCTCTGGTAGAATTCA